AACTTAAATGTTTTGAAATATTTGAAACTATCGTCTCTTTTCTACAATATTACATGCATTTGATAATTGATAATTTGATTTGATAATTGGATTTGCATTTGATAATTGGAACATTATTTTCAAAAAAAACTTTGATAATAATTTAGTATTGTCTAATTTATTCATTAGATTATCGTTTAATTGAATTTGTTGAATTAAAATGAAATTAAATAAATTAATTTGTAAAGTTTCATTGGTTGTTTAATTATTTGGATAATAATGAGAATAATTAAATGAATGAAACATTGCGATGGAGAAATGAAATTATTCACAAAATGAAAAATGTATAAACTAAGAGGGAAAAGAAATTGGGAAAAAAATGTGTTGAAAATTGAATGAAAATAAGAGTTAAACAATTTTTGAAGTACAAAGAGCAAAGAACAAAGAATAAAGAACAGCAAAAAAAAAAAAAAGGAAGATAAGTCGTAAAAGCTTAGCAATCAACAAGCTGCAATCAATTCGTTGCTAAGGAATGATGTTATTGTTGTTGATGAATGAATGTATATTATGTAGAGAAGTGGAAAGAGGAGAAAGATTGAATGAATAAATGAAAAGAGGAAAAAGAGGTCGAGAACGAAAACAAATGATAAAAAAGGCTGGGTGTGGTATGAGAAGATGGATTGAAGTAGAAGAGTTAATAGAGATTTAGGATTTAGATATCATCAAATGCGCATTTTCATATCATTTTATTGATTTCTAGTTGTTCGATAGGAAATGATTACATGAAGTGATAAGAGGAAAAAAAAAAAAGTGGATAATGAAAAAGATGAAAAAAAAATGAATACATATATCTAGCAAGCATATTTTTAAGCATTTACATTTTATAATTAATTTTAACCTTAAAATTACGACGATAATCTTCGAGGTAAACTTCGAGGTAAATGAATGATAAGGATATGCATGCATATGAATGATAAGGATATACAAGCGTGTGAATGATAAGGATATACAAGCGTATGAATGACATTTACATTTAATAATTAAATTTTAACCTTAAAATTACGATGAATAATCTTCAAGGTAAACGTATGAATGATAAGGATATACAAGTAAAGCATTTAATTAAATTTAATTAAACGGTAAATTAACCATTAATATGTTATCTTATCATTCTATATGTAAGCTATGAATTTTCATCATATATCTATGATTTCATAAATTCAATAGCTTCTTAATTCACATATCTCATTGCTAACTGACCATAAAATATTTCTTGTATTAAAATTTAAATTAAATTTTCAATCCAAATTTATAATTTACTAATTATTCCATTAAAAAAAAAAATCTCACTATTGTACATATAAGCGTAATCCTATTATTTGGTTGAAAAAAAAGAGTAATAAAATGATTTCAAAAAAATATTAGAAGTAAGAAAAGAAAAGATTCAGTTAAAAAAAAAAATTAAAATAAATCGAAAAAAATTTAAAAGTTTTTTTTTTTTAACGCAATTATTGTAATTCATACAAAACATTTACAAGATTATGCTAACAATTTGTAAATTACTTTTGAACTTTCACCTTAATTTTTTTTAATTCATATGTTATGATATGTGGAACATTTTCTCAAAAAAAAAAAAAAAAAATTTTAAAAGTTGATTAATGGAAAACTGATCTTGTTGAAGGTTAATTGCTGCGTTCATCTGATACTAACGTTCCCAAGTGTTATCTACTTATTTACAAGCATATTTAATTAATTAATTGTAACAATTAATTTTCCTATCGAATTTTTTTTCTATCTTGTCATATAAAAATGATTCTACTTATTTATAAGCATATTTAATTAATTAATTGTAACAATTAATTTTCCTATTTATTTTTTTTTTTTGTCTTATCACATAAAAATGATTTGATGCTTTAAACTAACATTTCTCTCTTTTTCTTCTTCTTTTTTTCTTTTTTTTTTTTAATTTTTTAATTCAATCGTATATCAATCATTTATTTGATTAATATCGATGACACTTTTTTTGTTTGTTTGCTTTTTTTTTTGCTTTTTTTTCTTTCCTATTATAAAATTTATTTTTTTAAATCGTGTTTCATAGCATTTAATCATTTAAATAAAAAAAAAAAATGATAAATAAGCTAAGTTTTATTGATAATAGCAAATGATTCATCAAATTAGAAAATGGAATTAAAATTTTCAAAAAATTTCTTTTCGCATTTTACTAAATATTTGCAAAATACATAAAACAAATAATTTATTTGTAAAATAATAGCAATAAACAAGAGGGAGAGGAAGAGAGAGAGAGAGAGAGAGAGAGAGAGAGAGAAGA